ATGGTCGAGCTTTGGAGGCAGAGAAGAGTCTCATCCTCCTCCTCCTCATGTTCAGTTGGTTTCGCTTTTCTTCTTCTTTGATCCTGGCTGTTATTTCAGATGCAGGAGCCACTGACGAAGGTGAAGGTGGCCGCGGTACCTCCGGAAGGCAGAGAAGCTCTCTCCGGTCTCTCTATGGAGCATCTGTTGGGAAGGATCTCTGAGGAGGACCCAACTTGGGTCACGTTGCCACGTAAGTGAAGGTTGGTTCTGAGGGCAGTGAAGCCTGAAGGCATTTCATTCACCTGCTTCTTCTACACAAAATTTTGCACCTGGTTTTAATTTATAGTGCTTCCCCACAGCTGAGTCACTCAGCTTCCAAATATTCTTTATCCGTCTCCTTTTATCTTGATCACAGGGAACCGAAGGATGTTGATGGAAATTGCTGAAACATCTTCTGTTTGTGGTGGAGCAGCAACAGCTGCTGTTCCTCCAGCTCAGGTAGGGGAGCTTCATCAGAGCAGAGAAACCTTTGATGGGGGGCCTGGGGGTGGGCATTTTTATCATGAGATTCCATGCAGAGCTTCTTAAGGGGATCAAATGTCAAGATCAAAAGTTAGCTTGGTTCCGCTTTCAAGATGGTTGTTTAAGCAGACCCCAGAGAAGAGTCAGCCCTCCAAGGTAGACCGAACATGAAACCAAAGACATGGAAGCAAATACTACTTTCGTTATAAGGTTACAGTAACAGAATCTTGCAAGTCCTCCCTTCCGTTATCTTCATGAGAACTAGGGAGCGTCATGCCTGAGACACTTTCTCAAATTACATTTCTGCCCTGGACTCAGATTTCTTTCACCTTACCCTTGTATTGGTAGCAGCTCTTCCTCCTGTCCCTCCAGGTCATTTGTTTGTCCCATTACAGTCATGCTGAGATATTGAGTTCATTTATGGAAGCGGTTGAGTATTTATGATTCTTGTGCCTGCAGGACGTTACAATAATTTATTTAATATATATCCCTTGCTATCTAAAGCATGTGCAAAACCAGGAATCGGCTAGCTAGCAAAAAATGAAAGCAAGGAGCCATTTTTAATTCATCAAGTTCTATTGAAACATTAGTAGGACTACTCACAACCTGTTAAAAAAATCAGAGCACTTAAAGCATGGCAATAAGAATAGCATTAGCATTTAAACATACATCCAAGCAGATCCAGTTAAAAGTTATGTGTGTGAGGTATGGATTTACTGCATCAAAATGGCAGCTTCTGCAAAAAAATGAAAGTTTTCATACAGCAGGAGATGTGAAAAAGTGGCTTACGTCTACAGAGTCTTTCTCCGAGGTGAACTGTGGTAGGAAGAAATTCTAACCGGACAGGTGGATCTTAGGAAAGGCAAGGAATTCTAATGTCCTGCAGGCACAATCCAGTAGTACATCATGTCAGAAAAGGAGAATTTTCTGTCTTGCAAAACTCGCTTTTAGGAAGTTGGAAATCTGGGAGAGAACTTCCTAGGACTTCTGTGGAGGAATATTTCTTTTGACTTTCAGGGCTTGGTGTCCTTTGAGGAGGTGGCTGTGTATTTTACGGAGGAGGAGTGGGCTCTGCTGGATCCCAGCCAGAGAGCCTTACACGGGGAAGTCATGCTGGAGAATTCTAGGAATGTGGCCTTTCTGGGTAAGGACCTGCTTTGCTCTGGGTTCAGTTAATTGTGGAAAGTCCTTTGTTGACATAAGTGCTCAGAAAGCACCTTCTGCCTAGAAAAAGAACATTCTGGGACTTTTTTTTTTTTTCCTGAGACTAAGGTAAATAAGTGGAGAAGTTGGTGGATGCTTCACGGGGTCCTTTTCTCATCTGAAAAGGATTTTCTCATTTTTGAGGAATTTCTTCAGTGAAGATGACAGCTTCTCTCTGTCTGATTCAAGAGCAGATAACCTGAACAGCTTTAGGTGAGGAAGATACTGCCCTGAATCTCTCTGATGTCTGTTCCTTACAACTGCCCCGTCTCCTAGGTTGCCTCATAATCAGTGGCAGTTTCTCATACTGGCTGTTTGGACAAAGGGCCCTCCTTCGGCTCTGAGCAAATCATGCGTAAGCTCCCTGTAGAGATGAGAACAATTGGCATTTTTTCCCTGAGTGCTTCAACGCAAGATAGTAATATAGGCTGCTGTGGATTCAATCTCACGGAGAAGCACAACACTGAGGAAAGAACCAAGCTTTATTGCAAGGATTGTTGAGTGCCTGCTTTACAAATAAGAGGGACCCTGAGTAACGGTAAAGCAAATATTTTTCTAGAAGCTGAGGGCTACAAGCTGGAAAATCCTAGGGATCTGATTGGCTGGCCAGTTTGGGGAAGCCAGGAAGGTCCTTGTCAGCGTACCTGGGGCTACAGGTAGTCCTTGTTTAGTGATCACAATTGGGCCCGAAAACCTGGTTGTTAAGTGAAGTGGTCGCTTATTGAAAAACCACATGACCATGACTGCTTACGATTTTACTTCAGCTTTCCTTTGCACTTTCCTTTGCTTTACAGTAGGATATGACCCCAAACAGCTGGGTGGGGCTAAACAACAGGAAGGTTTCTGTAACTTGACTTATGAGGAAGCCGGGTAAAATGGCAGACCTTGTAGTCCTTTTTCCCACGCCCGCCTTTGGAATGCTCACCCTGGTGCTGGGATAATTAGCAAGAAGAGAATTATTATTTGTATTTACATTCATTGCAGAGGAAGGGATTATAAGAGAGTCAGCAGGCACACATTGAAGGAATGTGGGCTGTTTGCCTAGAGGGTGAAATTGATTAGGGTCTTGTCAGTGTTAGGCAGCAGCTGCAAGCCAACTTCTAATCAACTAATTAAGGTCACAGAGCTGAGCCAGTTAATTTGAGGTTAGCACTTTTTAGAGATGAGCTGCCCTGCAGAGAAGAGCAGCTTAGGAAGAGAGGCAGTGTCTGTGCCCTGAGTGGGGAGGGGGAGAAAAAAAAGTGTACTGACTGTCTGTAGTGGTGAACGCATGACTGAGAGAGAGAGATGCTGCGAAGGTCGTAAATCTGGGCATTGGTCATGAAGCCATTTTTTCATCATGGTTGTAATTGCAACTGGTTGTTCTCCGAGGCACTTCCTAAACGAGGACTACCTATAATTCTGTTGTTAGGCAAAATGGGCCTTCCAGGAGGGCAACATAGCTAAAGAAATCCATTGTTTAAGGAGATGGAATGTTAAGGTCATTGGATGATAGAGGATGGAGGGTTGGGTCTTCTCTATGTTGGAGTTGCCTTCTAAGGGTTGTCTTTGGCTGTACTGTGAGTGGGTGAGAAGGCTTCTCTTCTTTGGTTTGATGGGACTTCAAACCAAAGAATAGGGAGGGGAGGGAGGATAAATTTAGGTCATTTGGAGTGCTGACAAAGATTGTGGCAAAAGGGGAGGGATAAAAAGGAAAGGAAACTTTGGGAGCTTCTGAAAGGAAGAGTATGAGACGCAGGCTTGAGAAGTACAGGATGTGTAAGAGAAGAGATTTTTGGAGTGGCACTGGTGTGGCAGTATAGAAGAGCAAGGAATGCTGTATTGAAAGAGACTATCCTATGCATTGGTTTTAGCATGATTTCAGGGACTGTGGGGTGGGAGGATCTCTCCTTGTCTAGTGAAAGGAAGGGAGGTCCCTTGTTTATAAACAAGTTCACAAAAGTAGTACAACAAATAGAAATTCTGGTTTCCTGTGCCCCTGATGTTAGATATGAGAGATATTCCACGAAGTTCTGGCAACCAATCCAATTCCCCACTCAGGTTGACTGATCGATTTCTACCCACTGTCCCTCTTGGCCTAAGGTAAGGTTGCTCTGGAGGCACAAGTCCAGATATTAAAGTGGTTGAGCATGAGGAGGAGGTCAGGTCCTGATACATGGTACAAGTCTCTCCTGGATGGGTCTCCCTTTGGGGAACAGGGGAGGGGGCTTAGAAGAGTTGGTCCTTAACTTGCAAAAGTTTCCCCAGTCCAAATTTCAGCTCAAAACGTGATAGAAAGTTCAAGTCCCATGTCTCCAGAGTTCCAGTGAAATGATATCCCAGAAGATTCTGGTGACCAGTGTGATTTCCCACAGAAGTCAAAGGGTCCAGTCCATACCTTCTTGCAGTTTTTGGAATATTGTAGGTGCAGAATATGAATGGTGTGTATGGTTTGTTGTCTCTTGAATGGTGTGCAAATATGGTTCCCTTCTTTCTGTCTTTTGATGACTGATGTGTCTATTGATGGCTGAATAACAATGAAGCAGAAATCAATACCCTAATCAAGGAACTACCGAGGAGAGAACCCCCACCCCTACCAACAGTGACAGGGCAAGCTACTGTATGTAACCAGGGAGTAAACCTCACACTCACTAGCATTTATGATGATACCTAGTTTGGTAATGAAACATTGCAAGCAAACAACCAAGCTCATAGAGCACTAAAGACTCCACGTTCAACCCTGAGCTACAGATATTCTCTTCTATGGAAAAAAAATCATACTCTTGGTTTATTCTCTAATACTTTAGTTGTCCCCCCTTAATCGTTACCAGCATTTGGGTGGGAATCAGGAGAAAGAGACATCAGATTTTCCCCAAGTGCCTGAAGTCTTTTGGTAGCCAACAAGATTCGCAGAGGTCTTTTCCTCTTTGACTGGAGGTTGTGCTTTTCATTTGAAGACTTGATGTAGATCTGGTCCCAAGACGTGAGGTGGCTGCAAGGTTTGTCTGGAGTTGGTGTCAAGTTTTGGATTGTTCTAATTTGTATGAAGTTTGCTAAAACCTATGGTTACAAATAAGTGTATATAGAAATATTAACAAAATTGTCCTCTTAGTATCCTGAATGTCTCTTAATGCAGTGCATGTAGTTGATGAGATGCAGGGAAGAATAAGCTGGCTTCCAGGTAGTCTCTGTCTGGCTTAGAAAAGAGCAAGCATGCTTGGACTGAAACTCAGGCTTTTCTTGCGGCATAGTGGCAGAATGGTGGCAAGCACCGGAGAATATTGCCGTTCCCAGTAGCACGTGAGGTGGGTGGAACTCAGGCTGGTAACCAACTTTATTCTGAGTCTTACTTAAATGCGTTTTATCAAAGGATCCTCATGTTGGAAGGGACCTTGAAGTTCTTCTAATCCATCCCTGCCCACTTCTCACCCTTGCCAAGAAAACCCGATTTCAGTTTGTACTTGAAATTTGTACCCAATTTTACGTTGGGGGGAGATGGGCAGCATAGAAATTTAATAATAAATAATAAATAAATAAATACTTCAACCATCGTATTCTCAAAGCTTTCTTTATGGTTGAGGGTAACGTTCCCCTTAGGAGAGATAAGCTAGTCATTATAAATGTCCTTTTCCCTGTCCTTTGAAATGCCCTCATGAATTTCGGCCAGGTGTATCACTATATAATGTAGGACATTCTTGAAACTGCACTTGCTATAATAAACATCAAGGCATCAATTGAAGAGGTCCGCAATTCCTTCATACATTTTGTTGTTGATGCCCCTCGCTCCTGATTATTCAGTCTTCAGATAATGAAGGAGTAGTTTTTTTCCAAAGAAAAAAGAGAAATACCTCATAAAAATAAGTGGGGAATAGTCCAAAACAACATCGCCTCAGGGGCAGTACCATAAATAAAATGGAAGTTTGGTTTCTTCTAGGCATACAAAAGGAACCCAGCAAAATCTTGGAGATGCAAAAATAATGGATGCAGCATTTTTCTGTTATGAACGTAATTAGTAACTTGTTTTATTTTTCTTTTTTTCTTCAAACCAGGTTATGAACAGGAGCAGGAGAATTACAAGGAGCCCGGCATAGCGCTATTACAAATGATCCAGTCTGAAGAAGGGCAGCTTGGAAATCAAGGGGCACTTCAAAAGAGTAAGAAAAGCTGCATAACGAGTGGAGAGAAGACATCTTGTTCTGGTCATAACGAAGTCCTTGACCTCCCAACCCAGCACGTTCAGCAACGAGAAGAAAGTGGACAATATTTTGGATGTGGCAAAACAGCCAGAGAAAAATGTGTTTTCAGTAAATATTCTACAACCCAGACTGAAGAAGAACAATATGAATATGAAGAGCACGGGCAAAGTATCAGTCCTACCTCCTCTCTTGTTTTACATCAGCCATCGTATATCAAAGAGACAACATATGCATTTATAAATTGTGGGGAAAATTTCACTTTGAACAGTCATTTTATTTCCCATAAAGAGGAGAAACCATATGAGTGTGGAAAGGGTTTCAGTAAGAAACAGTTGCTTATTATACCCCCAAAAAGTCCCCCAATGGAAAAACGATATAAATGTCTGGAGTGTGAAAAGACCTTCACTCACAGATGTAAACTTACCGTACATGAACGGACCCACACAGGGGAGAAGCCATATATGTGCCTGGTGTGTGGAAAAAGATTCAGTCAGACTGGTCACCTTACAAGACATCAACGAACCCACACAGGGGAGAAACCATATACATGTCTGCACTGTGGAAGGAAGTTCAGTGGAAGTTCAAACCTTATCAAGCATGTAAGAAGCCACACGGGGGAGAAACCATATAAATGTACAGAGTGTGGAAAGAGCTTCAGTCGCAAGACTACCTTTATTTACCATAGAAGGATCCACACAGGAGAAAAACCATACAAGTGCCTGGAATGTGGAAAGAGTTTTGGGCGGAACAGTAGCCTTTTACAACATAAAAGAATTCACACAGGGGAGAAACCATATCAATGCCTGGTGTGTGGAAAGAGTTTCACTGGGTCCTCAGATCTTATGTATCATAAAAGGATTCATACAGGGGAGAGACCGTATAAATGCCTGGAATGTGGAAAACGATTCAGTAGGAGAAGTCGTCTTACATCTCATAAACGAAAGCACACAGGACAGAAACCATATATATGCCTGGTGTGTGGAAGGAGATTCAGTCAGAGTGGTCACCTTACAAGACATAAAAGAACCCACACTGGGGAGAAACCATATACATGCTTGAAGTGTGGAAGGAAGTTCAGTGGAAGATCAAGCCTTGTGATGCATGTAAGAATCCATACAGGGGAGAAACCATATAAATGTACAGAGTGTGGAAAGTGCTTCCGTCAGAGAACTACCTTTATTTGCCATAGAAGGATCCACACAGGAGAAAAACCATACAAATGCCTGGAGTGTGGGAAGAACTTCAGGCGAAACTGTCACCTTATGAAACATAAAAGAATTCACACAGGGGAGAAACCATATCAATGCTTGGATTGTGGAAAGAACTTTAGTGTACGCTCAGATCTTACATATCACAGAAGGATTCATACAGGGGAGAAACCATATAAATGTACAGAGTGTGGAAAGTGCTTCCGTCAGAGAACTACCTTTATTTGCCATAGAAGGATCCACACAGGAGAAAAACCATACAAATGCCTGGAGTGTGGGAAGAACTTCAGGCGAAACTGTCACCTTATGAAACATAAAAGAATTCACACAGGGGAGAAACCATATCAATGCTTGGATTGTGGAAAGAACTTTAGTGTACGCTCAGATCTTACATATCACAGAAGGATTCATACAGGGGAGAAACCATATAAGTGTTTGGAATGTGGAAAGAGCTTCAATTGCAGCAGTTATTTTATTTGCCATAAAAGGATCCACACAGGAGAAAAACCATACAAATGCCTGGAGTGTGGGAAGAACT